AAGGATTTGTTCAGATTAATTAGCTACCAGTTAATTAATTTAATCAGCTAGTAAATTAATTAGCTAATTAAATTAATTAGTTCAGTTAATTAGCTACTAGTCCTTTCCAAATGTTCCTTTAAAAACAGATATTTCTAATTTATTCACAATATTATTGCAAATTTATTAAAGTAATATGCATAGCATTTTAGGGATATTATTAAAAAAATGCTATCAAAAAAAGGAGAGAGAGGTTATTAATATAAAATTTTAAAACTAAAACTTGGCTATATTGAAAATGTGTTTAAATTTCTCGATATTAGAATTTTAAAACTGCAATAATTACGGATAACAAGACTTAGTACTAGGTGCCATTTATTAACCATACCTCCTTTTATCTAATGCTACTTATTGAGCATATCCTCCATAAATATATTCACATATCTATAGTTTCTGCTATTTAGGATATATGTACACTCGGTGCCAATCATAGACCATCAGACGCCCACTTGCAAATTAAAACTGGCTGTCCTTTCTTACAGAAATATCTTTTATAATCATTTCGCCGATCATGTGCTATGCACCATCTTGGTCCTTCATACACTATAATGGTAACTTCATTTAATTAATATATTATCTAAAATTATAAACTTCAACAAAAGCAACAAATCAATAAAACTAAAAAAAAATTTCCCTTGGTAACAATATTTAGTGGAATCACTTTAATAGAACGCAACATATTTTCAGAACTTACCAAGTTCAGCCAACTTCATATATAAGTAGACCTCAGGAAACTACAAGCAAAACAAGTCTTCAGTTGTAACAGGAAGAATCGGTGAAATTTACTCTCATATTTTTTGTTATATTCAAAGTTCCAATACCTTTTATAGATAAATCTTGAACAAGAAGAAATCATAAAATAGTATTTACCCTATTTTTTAACAGTTCGTAAATGCAGCAAAAGACAGAATAATAAAAAACATGAAATTAATGGAAAAGGAAATTAAGAACCACAGAGTCCTTTAATGAGCTAATCAGTTTCAAAGTTGTTCAATCTACCTAGGATTGTGCTGCTTAAAGCTTCTTTTTTAGCAAAAGACTTCCTATATATATCAGGGAAAAGAAAACATCGCTTTCAATCACTTTTTATTTTATACAGATTGTGAATTTTGCCATATATATATCATTTTTTGCCTCTGTGAGCAGATAAATATCTTATCAATAATTACGCCAAGCTGCCATGTTACGGCGGTAACTTTCTGTTATCTGGAACGGGTTAAAATATATGCATGGATACACTGTATGTGTGTGTACATACATGCACATGCAAAATATATAAGTAGATGTATGCATGTAAGTATGAACATACAGGCTAGACTGGAGTTTACGGGCCAGTCACCAAGCTGAGGAAAATCGTGCCAAATCTGGTAACCACCATTTTTTCCATCATAATGAAAATCATTAGGGTTTAGGCAATTACAGTTTATATTATTTAACCGGGCTTTTTGAATATTCATCAGTTTACTGTGCTTCTCGTGAACAGCATAAGCAAAATGGCTGGTGTCCAAGGAGTTGAAAGTGTTGATTTTGCTTATTCGATTTGGTTGCAAGATAAGGGTGAAAGATGTGTGATAGAATGGTGCATGAATTGTGGTTTGATTTTGAATGTGTATGAATGTCCTAAGTGTAAAAATAGTATGAAATTTGTTGAAAGACGAGACGGATATGTGTGAATGGAGGTGTTGTGTATCCAGTGCTTCGAAAAACGAGGTCTAAAAGAGTGTGAGAAAGGGTCTTGGCTTTCCGAGGGATGAATACCTGCAAGTCTGATCTTTGAACTAGCATATTTGTGGGGTCAGAAATGGATGACTGATTAATACAGTTGAATTAGTGATATAGGAATTGATTAATGCAGATTTTGATTTAAATATAAATCATAATAAAAGAAATTCTCATTAGATGTAAGTACGTTATATACAATTAAGCGCTTTGTTGAAATGAGTGAGCCATTTTTTAATTCTATCTGCGTTGTTTTGTTACATCTTAGTATAGATATAAATAAATGTGGTTATATTATAACTATGCTTTATCATAAATTAAAATTTATTTTAAAAATATAAATTACATAGTTAAAACTGTTAAACACTCTTTTTTTACTATACTATGGCTCATGCATGTTTCAGAAGACAGAAATTCTGAATTTTACCTTCGTTTTTCTTTTGCATTTTTTTAAAGTTTTAGCTTAAATCTGAATCAATATTTTCCTATTACTCGTTGCTCATATACAGCTTATTACAATTCCTTAAATTTTGTAATAAAACGTTTTACATTCTTTTGCTAATGTCCTACAAATGGTATATGATACTATGAAAAGTCTTAATATTGTTGATTCCATAAAATACACATTTATTAACCTTCAATTTTTTTCCTTACACTTCTGTTTTAAATAAGAATTCTTTACACGTTTATAGGATTCATTCAAAATCACAACCATCTAATATGGCGATTTGATGAGTTAACGATTTTCTAAAATGTCAGAAAATAAACCATTTGGTGAATTGGTGACTTTTTGAAGAAGCATCAAACTGGCCCATAATATCCAGCTTTACTGAACATACATATGTATGTGTGTGTACACACATACACAAATATACACACACAAAAAACATATATATTTTTGAATCTATTCCTGGTAACAGAAAATAATAAGATTTCACAGCTGCATGGACAAATCCTTACCTGCAGGTAAATGCAAATATTTTAATTAATCTAAATTTCCCTCCAAAAGATATCAGGCAAAAGGTTTCTTTTTGATGTGAAGTAACACATGGTTACAAGCCGCATTTTGTCTAAATTTTATCATATCAAAAACATGCAAGGTTTCTGTACTGAATGAGTTTGCTTCTAGCAAGGTTTCTCTACTGAATGAGTTTGCTTGTTTAGAAATGAACATACTTATTTAATAAGTTGATGTGAACTCTTACATATTCATGCACATAAGATTCCTCTTCTATATGGAAAAGCATATTTACAATATCCATTTCATTAAATGATTTAATACAGACCTCACAAATTAAGGTTTCCTCTACAACGTGAATAAGCATACGTTTGTTTAAAATATTGTTTGTGACAGATTTCTTACATTATCAAATATATGAGGTTCTCTCCTATGCCTCTTCCTACTAAGCTGATGCATTTTTAATCTACATTTCCTTGTAAACGACCTAATATATAGCTCATTCATATTAGGTTTCTTATTCAAACTTGGCTTGTGTGTAAAATTTTTTACATACCTCACACATGAGGTCTACCTCCTGTGCAAAAAAAGAATATGTTTGTTTAAATTTGTCTTGCATGCTAACATTGTGCATTCATTATACACAATTCTCTCCTGTGTAGATAAATGTGTGCTCTTTGAAATTATTCCTTTTTTTTAAAGACATTTTTAATATATGATACATATGAGATTTCTCTTCTCTACAAATAAGCAGATGCAAATTTAAATTACTACTTTGGACTAAATAACGTGTTATATACTTCACAAACATGATGTTTCTATCTTTGGTGAATAAGAAAATGCTCATTTAAATTAGTCTTGTCTATAAATGACAATTCACAGGCATATCACACACAAATAACATTATTCGCCCGTGTGAAAAAGAATATGCTTGTTCAAATTACCTTTGTTCTAAATGATTCCTTACATATCAGATTTCTCTTCTGTGTGAATAGTCATACGTGAATTTAAATTTTTCTTTCGACTAAATGATTTATTACACATTCCCACAAATGAAGTTTTTCTCCTGTATTAATAAGCATATGCAAATTTAAACTAGTCTTTTAATTAAACAAAGTTGTTACATACCTCACACTCATTAGGTATTTCACCTGTGCGAGTGAGGACATGCACATTTAAATTTCTCTTTCAACTAAATGACATATTACATACCTCATGCTCAAAGTATTTCTCTTGAGTGAAAAAGCAGATGCAAATTTAAACCATGCTTAGATTAAATAACTTGTTATCTCACACACATAATGTTTCTCTCCTCTGTGAATAAACATACATTAACTTAAATTATCCTTCTGTGTATATGGCTCGTAACATGTCTGACCTACATGAGGTTATTCTTCTGTGTGAATAAACATATGCACATTGCAACTGTTCTTTTGACTAAATGACTTATTACATACTTCACACACATAATGTAGTTTTTCCTGTGTGAGTAAGCAGATGCTCCTTTGAATCACTCTTTTTTTATAAATGATTTGTTACATATCCCTCACAGATCAGATTTTCTTTCTGCATGAATAAGCATATCCTATTTAAATTACACTTCAGATTACCTCACTTGTTACATATCTCATTTATATGAGGGTTCTTCTGCACCGTGAATACGCATATGAATATTAACTCATTCAACTAAATGATCTGTCACATACTTCGCACACAAGGCTTTTCTGCTCCCTGTGAATAAACATACATGTACTTACTTTTATGACTAAGTGACATCTTACATACTTTAGACAGACAAGCTTTCTCTCTTGTGTGAATAAGTATAGGTTTATCTAACTAATCCTTTCTACTTCACACATACGAGGTTTGTTTTATAGTTTGAATACGCATAAGCATATTTAATTTGTCATTTCAATTAAATGACTTATTAGATACCTCATACACATGAGACTTATCTCCTGTGTGAAAAAGCATGCATATGTGTATTTAAAGTACACTTTTGACTAAAAGGTGTCCTACACACTCCACAAACATAAGGTTTCTCTCTTTCGTGAATAAGCATATGATTTTTTAATTGACCCTTTCGAAGAAATGACTTCGTACATATCTCGCACACATAAAGTTTTTCTCCTGTATGAATAAGCATATGCTGATTTAACTGATCCTTTCGACTAAATGACTTGTTACATACCTCACACATATGAGGCTTTTCTCCTGTGTGAATTAGCATATGCATATTCAAATGAAATTTCTGAATAAATGATTTGTTACATACCTCACATACATGAGGTTTTTCTCCTATGTGAATAGGCATATGCATAGTTAACTGAACCTTTTGTGCAAATGATTTGTAGCATACCTCACACACATGAGGTTTTTCTCCTGTGTGAATTAGCAGATGCTTATTTAAATCACCCTTTTTAATAAATGATTTGTTACATACCTCACATACATGAGGCTTTTCTCCTGTGTGAATAAGCATATGCGTACTTAAATTTTTCCTATGACTAAATGACTTTTCATATACCTGACACATATGAGGCTTTTCTCCTGAGTGAATGAGCATATGCGTACTTAAAGTACTGTTATGACTAAATGTTAGCTTACATACTTCACGTATATAAGGTTTCTCTTTTGTGTTAATAGTTAGTGTAATTTCTCTTGCGTGGATTAGCATATGCATATTTAAGTGGCCCTTTCGAATAAATGACTTCTTACATACCTCACACATATGAGGTTTTTCTCCTGTGTGAATAAGCATATGCATATTTAAGTGACCCTTTTGAATAAAGGACTTCTTACATACCTTGCATACATGAGGCCTTTCTCCTGTGTGAATACGAATATGCGTACTTAAGTTATCCTTTTTAATGAATGACATCTTACATATCTCACATACATGAGGCTTTTCTCCAGTGTGAATACACACATGCAGATTTAAATCCACCTTTCGACCAAATGACTTGTTACATTCCTCGCATACATGAGGCTTTTCACCAGTGTGAATAAACATATGCGGATTTAAAGTACTCTTATTGCTAAATGATGTCTTGCAGACTTCATACATATAAGGTTCCTCTCTTGCATTAATAAGCTTATGTATATTTAACTGACCCTTTCAAAAAATGTCTTGTTAAATACCTCCCACACATGAATATTTTCTCCTGAGTGAATCAAGATATGTTGGTTTAAAAGTCACTTTATTCTTCATGATTTGTTACATACCTTGCACACATATGATTCCTCTCGTGAATAAGCATGTGCATATTTAAAATAATCTTTCTAGAAAATTATTTTTTTATAGATACTATACATAAGTTTCTTTTCCTGTATGAAATGCAACATCTGTATTCAAATAACATTACCATATTTCAAGCAAAGAAATTTTAGAGCATTTTACCAAAAATTAATTTCAGTTTTAAAAACAGTAATAAATAAGTCAGCTATGCAATACTGCTTTCTACATCTGAAACAAATACTCGCTTGAAAAAGTAAATGAAATAGCATTTCAAGGAATTCTATCAACGAAAAGTTGAAAATTAAATTGCACATTTTTGCTTCAGGTTTACTGTGCACACACAGATAAAGCTTAACCATGCTAACAGAATTCCTCATCGAGATTCTTCATTTTACCCAAAAATAACAATCAACAAAAACATTTTTAAAGTTCCACAAAATTATTCTTCCTTTCTGTAAATTAAAAACTTGTTTTAATTTTAAAACCACTTACTTAAAAGTCCTGGAGTTTTTTCAACCCAAAAGATAGCTTCACATTTAAATGTGAAATCAAAATTGTCCAAGTTAATCTTAGTAATACCGGAACATGCTTAATAAACAAAAAGATGAGGATTTTGTTACTTAGATAAATATGTTCCATTTAAAAATCCTCCTGATTCCTAAGGCCTGGAACATACCCCACACAGATTGTTGTATCTTATATGTTTAGGCAAGACCTTCATTAAAGCAGCCCCTTTTCCAAAATAACTCACCTCACATGATATTTATGCCCTATATGAAGAAGCATATGTACACTTAATTTACTTATGACATACTACATATGTTCCAAACCTTTTTTCTGCAGACATATATTCATAACACACTTTTTTCCAAATCAGTAGTTACATGCAGTTCCTTGCCAACATACATTAAGCTCACACGTTTATAACTTTCTGTACACCGTGCAATAATTTTTGTGTTCCGCATTAAATACAAGGACTAAATTAAATCCAATTGTACTCAAGTTAGCTCTTGGATGGTTCATACTATATTCTCCAATCTTATGTAGATATACAAGTAATCATAATAATATAACTGTATGTCACCCATGAGGCTTATTTTTATGCCTTGATTTCCAGGAACAACTGATTAAAAAATAATCTGATACATTTCACACAGATATGACTTCGTTTCCATTTTATATGCCATGATTTCCAGGGACACTTTAGTCTGGTATGTTCCACACAGTGTCTTTGCTGCAGTGATATAAAAGCCAGCAAGTTCCTACGGTAACTGAATTGCCGCTGTGACAGATCAGAGCACAAGTGCAAACAAACATTTAGTCTCCTTGATCATGAATTAATATAGTGATGTTCTACGTAATGGACTCTCGACATTTTTGCATTTGTTAGTGCAAAAATGTCGACTTGTTTATTTACGACATTTTGCATTTGTCAGTGAATTACAATCTCAAAATGTTATATACTGACATTATGTACACATAAATTTTCAAAGAACGTATGCATACAAATATTTAATTTATAAGCTTTTGAAGTATTTCCATAAGCACTATCGATATGAAGAAAGCTGTAAGCAAACATTTCAGTATCCCATCTTGGAGAATGCTTTATACTGATACATTCATGGTTTAGATGAAAAGAAATATAGTATTATTTCCAAATTTAGATTGCAGTATAATACACTGCAGAAAACGAAAGTCGAGATTTTCTGGGTTTTTTGAATATTTATCAATAATAGAGCTGGAGCAAACCGTATGTATTCGTTACTGAGTAACGGGTACATGGGTTGACTCGAAGTACCGATTCGGTACTCACAAATTCATTTCGTTACTCGCATCTGTTCGTTACTCGCGATGCGGTTTATTCGAGTACGAATGATGCGATTGCTATGCGAATACGAATGATGCGACGAATGAATGATGCGGTTGCTATGCGAATATACGAATGTTGCGTCACAATGCGCTCATATTTTTCATAGATAATTTTTTAATTTTTTTGGGGCATCGGGCAAACTCTTGTTTACATTATGTGTTTTAGTTGAAATATTATTTAGTTGTTGATATTTAAGAAGATGAGCAATTTTGATAGCGTGAAGCGTTATTTTGTATTTGCTTTTTACATTAAGATTTATGTTTGTAATTTGAAAATTTAGATGATTATTTATTTTTTTTCTTGAGCGTGCCATAGTGAGATTTTATTGATTTGAAATATTTATATACTGCACTTAGGTATTGTTTATATAAGAATATGTAGGTTAATATAGGTTCTTTACTTCCTTGTACGAAATGAAAAGGTAGTAAGTATTGTAATCGAGAAAACTTTTGGGTATCATATTTTAACGGAAATATCCATTTTTGACGATTACGGAATGCATGTGAATTATATTTTTGGCTGACATGACTCTAAGTTGATACTTGAAAGGGATGTTTTCGTGATGTATAAGTATGTATGCATGCATTTCGTATAACTCAAAAACGATTAGTTGTAGAACGTTGAAATTTTGTATATGGGTCCGTTATAACATCTAGATGTGCACCTCTCTTTTTATTGCAATCGGTAATACTACCAAACGTAAATATGTATATATATATATATATTAAATAAATTATAATTAAATGTAAAGTACATATATATATATATATATATATATATAAATAAATTATAAATAAATTGTCAGGACTTAATTTTTAAAATTAGAAGTGCTGGAGCTCTATGGAAGGCCATCAGGAAAGATGAATAAATAAATAAATAAATAAAAATAAAAAATAAATAAATAACTATTACAATAATAAAATAATTAGCAACTAGAATATTAAATGATTATTATTATAATTCAATAAAAATTTAAAGACAAATGAAAATTTAATTAATTCTTAAATTAATGATGAATAACTAAGTAATGAAAATAAAATACCAGACATCGTCTTGTTTGGGGGCTGTGGCTGAAAATTGCAATTTAAAGGTAAGCCGAGCATTAGCTAAATTTAGGCTTTTGATGAGCAAATAATGTACTGTTTACCAGAGTATAGATAGAAATTTGGTTATGTAGCCCATTCTTCTAAAACGACGTTTCGTCGCTGCCTTCCACCACCAATTCCTTTTTTTTTTTTTTTTTTTTTTTTTTTTTTTTTTTTCGGTTTATTCGGTTACAGCAAAGCACACTAGGGCTATTGCCTACGGGGAGGGAGGCCTTCGTGTAGGATTTTTTAAAGGAAACTGACTCATATGCAAGTTACACACGGGGAAAAACCAATGAAAACGCCCGTGCAGCTAGCCGTTAGCCGGGAATTGAACCCCGGACCGAACTATTATTAGTGTTCAGCGACTTTACCGCTCGAGCTCTGGTGGGCTCTTTTTTTTCTTTTCATTCGCTGTTTGAAAAACAGGTGTTCACTTTACGATAAAGTAAGCACCTGTTTACTTCAATTAAAATGGGTTAGACGATATGACTCTTCCTACTTTAATCTCACTTAGCTTTTGATTTCTAATATTGATTCAATGTTTTCTGTAGACAAAGTATTCTGATTAGAATAATGGATTTAAAACATGTTCAAAAGGTGTGTATCTGAATATAATTAGGTTTTTATAACATAGGGCCCATTTTATTAGTTTCACATAGTTTCTAAAGCAATTGAACCACAGCATCGCTGTTTTGAAAGAAAGTAAAAATGTGAGAAATGTATAATGAACATTAATATACAAGCTTTATTAAAAGTAGTCAGCCTTTTAAAACGTGACCGTCTATGCTTTTAGAGGATTTTTGGAGCTCTGTGCATTTGCTCTGGCATCTTAAAAAAGTGATGTTCAATATCAACGTATGTTTTATGTTCTCAAAAATACAGGTCTCTTTCAGAAAGCGACCTCTTAGAAGTCGTCAATAAATGATTCAGTATAGTTATTTTCTAATAGACCATAGAATAAATTTATTTTAACGTCAATTTAAAAATGGCTGCTTGTACTAAGAGTTAAGAGCAATAAGACTCTAATTTTTCTTTCGCAATTAGCTATCATGCCAGCTGAATTGTTTTCTGCATAATCTTTATTGTGTATAATTGAAATATTTAGCTATGCATTCAACAAATATACAACAAATGTAAGACAAATCATTAAAAAAATTAAAATTTGGAAACATTAATATAATTTTTTTGTTATACATAAAATATTATTAATGAATGATGAATTTATATCATATTATATATAAATCAAAATTTAAACTCCTATTCCTTTATAATAAATTGAAGAAAAGCTATAAAGTGAATTAATTTTTAAAAACAAAACGAAAATTTAAAAAAAAATTTTGTCATATACCTAGAATCTAAAAATGACGAATACTGAATTTTACGACTCATATAATAATAAATGCATATTCATATTGTAACAGAAATTTTGTTAGAAGTCTAGCATATGTATAGTTATTTGTGATCTTTTAAAACTGTCGTAACATGATGCATATTTATCATTATCGTGAACCAAAACAGTATGCTTTACATCCTTACAAATATACGTGATAGATTTTAATATTTATTTCTGCATATACTTACGTTTCCCAAAGACACGAAAGCAAGTTAAGCAGATTTTTGTTGTATTAAACAGACTTAAGTTCTCTGTTAGCTAGTGTAACACATAATTTTCGGATTTTATGAGCCTTCCAGAATTATTAGCAAAATAGTGGAAATGTCTTTACAAAGTGTTTTTATAAGCAAACAGCAGATGTACACTGAGCAGTGATCAACTGATATATTTCTTAAATGATTTGGTTTAGTTGATTATGACAAAAACACACTGGGGCTATGTGCCTAAAAGGAAAAATGCCTTCGTAGAGCACTTTCTT